ATGGAAAAGTGTGCACTACCTGCCAGGTATTGAACTAAGAACTTTACAAAAACCAACTCATTTGAATCCACAGATAAAGCCCAATTATACTCCAAGCCCTTAGTACCTCAGAATGTGGTCTTGTCGGGAGGTAGGGTCTTTAAGAGAGGCGACCCGGTTACAGTAAGGTCATTAGGGTTTGGTTGCTACCCCAGGGTGAAGGATGTGCTTATGAAAGGGAAAATGGGAACATGCAGGCAGGCATACAGAGAGAGGATATGACACAGGAGAAGGGAAGGGAGATGAGGTGACACAGGAAAGGGGAGCCACCACAAGCCAAGGAGGACCTGGAGTGAATCCTTTCTTTATAGTCCTCAGAGGGATCCAGTCCTGCCAACACCTTGATCTCCGGCTTCTAGTCCCATCTACTGTGAGACAATACGTCTTGGTTATTTAAGTCACCCAGTTTATGGTATTTGTTGTGGCAGCCACGGAAAGTAAATATAGTAGGTATATTATTGTTACTGAATGATGCTGCTATTATTTTCATTTTCAGATGAGGGTGCTAAGGCATAGAGAGAAGTGTCTTGCCAAACTTTACAAAACTGAGTAGAAGACCATTTCCCTGACTCTCTGCCGGGGATGGTGGTGGTTCTTGCTTCCTAATACCCAAACCATTTGGAAAAGTCAAACAGAGCACGCGCAACTCCTGTGAAGGTGACCATCCTTCAAAGGGAAAGGAAACGTTGAGCTCAGGCAAGTCTCTCTTCCTCTAGCTTTTTTGTTTGTTTGTTTGTTTTTTGATTTTTTTTGAGACAGGGTTTCTCTGTGGCTTTGGAGGCTGTCCTGGAACTCGCTCTGTAGACCAGGTTGGTCTCGAACTCACAGAGATCCACCTGCCTCTGCCTCCCGAGTGCTGGGATTAAAGGTGTGTGCCACCACCACACAACCCTGGAGGTTTTTATTCGAGGTCAGTGGACCTTTTATGGAAATGGATCTTCTGTTTGCTTAATTGAGAATGAGGGCCATGTTAGCAGTGAAATGCCATTCTCCTGTGGCCCAGCACCTGTCCTTTACTCTTATCCCCAGCCTGGAGTCCTAGCCATCAGCAAACTTGTCAGCTTCTAGCTGGCTGCTGCAGACACTGGCTGTGCCTGGGATGAGGGTGTGGATGAGGGAGCACAGAGGCACTGGACAGGGTTGTATCTGCTTTTCATCGGCCTTTAGCAGATTGTGAGTCAATTGGTATGTGCAGGATGGCATAGTTCTCCAACCTGGGGTGAGGACACAGGAAGAAACTAGACATTTTCTTGGTGTTCCTCTGGTAGGCATTATTTCACCCATTTTGTTGATGTGGAAACTTAAGACACGTGAGGCACAGTGAGTGGCTCAATTTCATGGAGGGGGCCAGCGATGGCAGAGGGGTTCCGGCTCATATGGTTGGTGTGCTGGTTGGTTTTGTTAACTTGATATAAGCTACAATCATTTGGGAAGAGGGAACCTCAAATGTGGAATTGCCTCCATCAGACTGACCTGCGCACAAGTGAGCAGTACATTTTATTGATTAATGATTGATGTGAGAGGGCCCAGATCACAGTAGGCAGAGTCATCCCTGAGCAGGTGGTCCTGGGCTGTATAAGAAAGCAAACTGAGCAAGCCATGGGAGCAAGTCAGTAAATAGCATTCTTCCACGGTCTCTGCTTCGGTTCTTGCCCTGACTTCCCCTTGTTGGACTGTGACCTGAGAGTTGAGAGCTGACATAGATTCCCCCCCCCCCAAGTTGTTTTTGGTGAGTGTTTTATTACGGCAACACAGAAGCAAACCAGGACAGCCAGATTGTGCCAGGGTTCTGGGACTTCTGGGATGGAGCAATAACAGCAGCTGGGCAGGATGGGGTGGGGAATGGGGTGGGGGTGGAGGTAGGGAGTGGGTGGGGGAGTGGGAGGGGTAGGGTAGGGTGGGGGATAGGTGGTGGGTGGAGAGCCACAAGTGTAGGGAGACAGCTGGCCAAGCCAGGGAACACCTGCTGAATCTAGACTATTTCCACAGTAGCAGAAGGTAGCCAGGGCTTATGTTTCACTGGCCTGGGCTGGTCTGGCAACTTACTGAGAAAAACATTTGGGGAGATTTAAACAAACAAACAAACAAAAACAAAAAGAAAAGATGTATTTCTCATGAACCAGAAATAATTTTCAGGGACAGAACACTTCAAATTCATATTTTAAGGTACTTTGTTTGTTTGCCAGTGCACAGTCATGCTGAAATATGAACCAGATTTTCATTAGTGAACAGAACACATTCAACTGTCTGAAGCATTGCTGGTTCTGGGCTGTTCCTAGAAAAAAAGAAGAAGAAATTGCTTTATATCTGTCTGAATGGCTAAAAAGGTCACCAAGGTGGGCCCCATGGGCAGAAAGGAAAGCCCATCCTACGGACAAATTCCAACTTCAACTCCAGGAGGCAAAACTCACTTGGTTACCCATATGACAGCTCCACCACTTCAAAAAGTTAACCCTGGCCCATAGAAAGGGGGAGGAGCTGTTAGCTGAAATGTATGGTCTTTCCCTGCTAGAAGTTGTTAACCCAACAGCTGGTGCGGCTTTCCAGAGAGATGGCTTGTGGTCCTTAATGGATATTTGCTAATTTGTTGACAAAGTAGCACATCCAAAGTTGCCTTTGGCCTTTACAGTGTAGCAGTTGAAAACTGATTCCTCCAACAAGGAGATACTGACAATAAAGACTTCCCAGCCTCATTGCCCAGAGTAGCTGGGAGTTGATGATAAAGGCAGCTGTGCCCCAAGCTTCTAGACTTTCGTTGGGAGTTCAGGGTGTGAACTTGGAAGTCTACAGAGTTCAAAGTAAACATTTTATGGGACTGTCATGCATTTTAAAAGTGGTTTTCTCATTGGAACTTTTTTATTTTGAGATTGCTATAGTTTCACACAGAGGTAGGTCCTACCCGTGCCCCACCCAACACCTTGCATTTTCTTTTCCCTCTGATGTATATGAAAAGCTCTGTGTTAAGTCTTTTTAGTTACCGAGGACTCAGGCATATATACTGTAGCACTGCAAATTCTTAGCTATTTGGCAGGATACACAGCAGGATCTCATTCACCAGGCATACATGTGATACACAGACATACATATAGAAAAAATACCCATATACATAAAATAAATAACAGGATGCATAAAAGAGTACAAGAGCATATTTATATCTATCTATGATAGAACATAAATATATTAAGAGTTGTGATATTTAAAGCAAGAGATGACATCATCAGGAACGATGAGAATTGAATCAGTCATAAATGGATTGTGGTTTTGGCAAGCAAAAAACAATCGAAGTGAAGAATTAGAAAATTATTCAAACTATTATGAATAAAGGCTTACAGCTCCTTATAGGAAAAGAATTATTCAGTTTTTATTTGAATTTTATTTGACAACTATGAAGGATATGAAGATTTTGTTCAAATATAACAAAGCACCTTTATTTTATAGCATTTTTTATGCATTTTATAAGCTGCAACTCTCAGGCTCATGCTGCCATATCATCAGAGTGGATAGATTTGCTCTGTGGAAGTTTGTTTTTCACTTCACTGTTTTGAAACAGTAAACCAGAGGCCAGTGTGATGGCTCAGTGGTTAAAGTGTTTGCCCTGCACCTATGAGGTTTTGAGTTTGATTCCTAGGACTTGGTAAAAGATGGGTGTGGTAGCGTGTACCTGGAATCCAAATTCTAGGGACATGAAAACAAGAAGATTCTAGGGTTTGATGGCTAGCTCCTGTGGGTGCCCCGTTTCAAAAATAAAGGTGGAAGGGCAGGGCAGGTAGTTCAGTGGTTAAGAGCACTGGCTGCTCTTACAAAGGACCCGAGTTCCAGTCTCAGCATGCATGTCTCAGCATGCATGTTGGGTGGCTTACAGCTGGCCTGTAACTCCACTCTTATGGGAGCTAATGTCTCTGGCCTTCTCGGGCACTTCATTCATACATGGCATGCATGCATGTTGTCGTGTGTGTACACATACAATTTTGAAAAATAAGCATATGTTAATTTCCTGTGTGAGAGCGTTTTGCCTGCAAGTATGTGTGTACTCCACAAGCATGTTTGGTGCCCATAGAGGCCAGGGAAGGGCATTGGTAACAGGAACTGAAGTTATAGGTAGTTATGAGCTACTGTCTGAGTGCTGGGAACTGATCCTGGGTCTTCTCTAAGTGTTCCCAGCAAGTGCTCTTAACCCACTGAGCTGTTTCTCCTAACCTAGGTGTGGTGGTGCCAGCCTTTTACCTCAGCAGCCGGGAGGCAGAGATAGAGGCAAGTGTATTTCTGTGAGTTCTAGGTTATCCTGGTCTACATAGGGAATTCCAGGTCAGGCAGAGCTTCGTAGTGAGACCTGTCTAAAAAAATAAGGTGGGAAGTGATTAAGGAAGACACTCAGCATTGACTTCTGGTCTCTGACATGCATGCATACATATGTGTGTATGCGCTCTCCCCATATCTGTGCACACATGCAGGAACATACACACATAAAAGAAAGACACAGTAAACTGATCTAAAGAGGGTTCAAATCTGAATAAGATTAAAGAAATAGAAAATTTAACAGTTATGTCAACATTATAGTAATCAAAATACATAGGATATACAAACACCTTTGGTCTGCAAAGAGAAGCCACATGCATTGCTGGCTGATGGGGAATGTACTTCTTTGTATGTTTATCTTATTGATTGTTGAATAAAATACTGTTTGGCCAATGGCAAGCAAGGACTAGGAGTCAAAGAGGATTCTGGGAAATGTAGTAGAGAAATGATGATCCAGGCAGGAAATGACATGGCAAGGAGACTCATATCTAAGCGAGGAAACAGGAAATGTGTCTCTTTTCCCCTCCGCTCCTACTCCAGCGGCACAATGTGATCCACCGGCAAGGAGGGACGCGAATAAGGCGTCTGATAAGATAAGTCAATATATAGATTTATGATAGTTAAGACTGAGCTAACAGATGAGAATCCTAGTCATTGGCCAAGCAGCATTGTACCTAATACAAGTTTGTATGTATTCATTTGGGCCTAACTCAGGCGGGCAGCTGGCATAAAGCTCACACGTGGCAGTGGGGCTCAGGTGGCTTTTGGCAGAAAGATTTATCATAACAGCTGGCCATGCTGTAATTGTCCTTGTCCTAGAAGTATAAGCTAGAAACTTGTAACAAGAACTATACAACCATGCATACCCTCTGACTTGGTAATCCTACTCTTGGGATTCTATTCTAAGGTAATAATCCAAGTGAGAAACCAGAATCATCTGTGCAGGTTATATATGGCAGCATGTCCATAATAGGGGAAGATGGAAGCTGCCCAAATGCTCAGCCACTGCAATGGTTCAGAGTCTTCTGTGACCACTGAGATCGGGAGGCCTGGGGACTCTGTTCACACGAATGGAAACGTGCACACAAAGCAGAATGCAGAGTCGAGCAGCCACTCTCACTGCTTCCCAGACATGGGGGTCTGTGCTTTGATGAGCCCGGAAAAAAAATACAGATAGCTGGGACTTTTATATTCATGAAATTCTTCTGTATAAATGTATCTAAACATTTATGCAACATCTATTTGATGAAGATGAAATGCTGGTTAAAGTCTAACACCTGCGGAAACCAAGAAGTAGTCTAAAAGTCTTTCCTAGCACACAGGTTGTGCTGGCCTCTCTTGGAGAGCTGACCTAGCTGTTTCTTAGCTGAGCATCATGGGTGGTGTAGCCCATTGCCTGCCTAAGGAGCCATTTTAAGGATGCTGCAACAGTCTCAGGTCCCCTTTTCTTCAGCTGCAGTCTTTTCACTTTTCCTTCAAGCGAATGTGTTCTAGAACCCAGAGGAGGGACTTAAAACAATATGGAGTGAGAGGAGGGTTGGTCCGGTCACCTGAGGATCTGACCCTGGACCTTTGGCCTGGCAACCTTCAAATCTTGTGATGTACCATAGGGTAAGTGACTTCCTGTTTTCTTTTTCCTCAGATAGGGTCTCTCTATATATCTCAGGCAGACCCAAACTTATAGACCTCTTGCCTCAGCTCCTCCAGTTCTATAATTACACTGTACCTATCATACTCAGGTGACTTTTAACATTGTTTCCCAAAATGGTTTCAGCTAACTACAAAATAAAATGAAAGGAAAGGAAAGAAGACAAAACATTAGCAGAAACATGGTTAGCTGTCCTAACAAGAAGCTCATGGTCATAGTCCGATAGAGACTGATGCTTAATTCTGTGGATCTAAGTCTTCCATTTTTTCATTCTACTCAGTGACAGTTTGTCCTTTGCGAGCTTTGTGATCCTAGCGTGGTTTCTGGGATTTCAACCCCCAAACATGATATATCTTATTAGGATTGTGTTTTTCTCTTTCCTTCTAAAATCTAAGAATTCTTCACCAAAGTCTTCTGTTGTTGACATGATCTTTCATTTCTCACTCATTGGGCAGATAGTAGTCCTTACTTATGCTTACGCCAGTTGTTGTCAAGGGACTGAGATGTAATGACTTCTTAAGTTAGACTTATCAGCACTTATAGTCACTGTAGAGGAGTTTTCGGGGTGGGTATGTGCTCACAATCTCTGTAGAGGGGTTTGGAGGATAGGTGGGTTTGTGGGTAGGTTCTCCTTTCTTAGCACCCCTACTTCCCAAGGTCCTCCATTCCTCCTCCTTTGGCTAGAAAGCTGGGGATTTTCCACTCTACTCCACTTCCAGCGACTGTGTCTGTACCCAAAACCATAGGACAAGCGAATGTGTAGAGAAATTGAAGCTATAATGGGGATTCTCTCCACACTATGGAGACCTGGCCAGAGGGAAGTACTCCCCCTACAGGCAGTTAGGTGCATGCTTGGCTGCAATTACCATCTTGATGAAACTGCCCAGGTGGGAGCAAGAGGGATATAAAGATCAAACAGAGAGGTTCTCCTATGCTCTCTCCTCTTTCTCTTTCCCCCTTTCCCTCTTTCTCTCCTTCCCCATTCTCTCTGCCCCTTCCTCATTCTTGGACCCTGATTTCCTTCCCCAAACTTTTACTTTTCAGAGAATTACGAAGGCTACTCCACACATTCTGTCCATAATAGGGCTGTGGGTGTGGCTGTGGGTGTGGGTGTGCCATTGCTGTCCCATCTGGATTTCCATGGGGAAAGCTCACCTCGCCTCCCACACTGGATGTGGTCAAAACATCTTTGCTCTGTGAAGACAGAGTCCATATTTCTTACCCTTTTGTTGCCTTTGAGTTCAAATTCAGCCTGGCCCTCCTCACAGCTCTATTATTCCTTTACAGAGGTTCACATTGCCCATGGTAAGACACAGATATGTCCCTCTTGTGCCTCTCTTCACTTCTTCGGGATTTGCCATTGACTGGATAACACATGCTTACAGATCCACTGGAAAGAGGGAGCATCGAGATCACAAACCTCAGCTCTGTCTTTAGTCTGCTCTGTTTCAAATAGGCCATCTGTAACGCAGGAACACACAAGCCTTAGGATATAAACATGGTATCTCCTCCCAGAGAATTAATTATGCTCTTTTCTATGTTATTTGAAGTTTTATTTGAATAATAAAGCAAATAGGCTTACACTACAGAGAGGCATGAAAAATTAGCGTGGGTTTTAAGGTTCATTTAGAAGATGGGACAAGCTTGAGGTGAGATAGGATGCTACGTAGACCTTCAAGGTTCCTAGCTGAGGACCAAAGCCCTAATATCAGCAATAATTGCTGTAAATGGGCTGACTGATATGAGGACCATCTACTGAGTCATCGCTCTTTGATACCATAGGGGTTAGTGCCCTTGCCCCTGATTTGAGGAATCAGGACCAGCATCTTTCAACAATGTTAATGTTGGAGCTGGTTCTTGCTCAGCCACTGTTGATTGCCACTCATCCCAAACATGGCTACACCAAGAGAGGCATCTGCTTCACAGAGAGGCCAACACCTACTGCAGAGGCTGAGACTGCATAGGACATGCACTTAAGCCTGCAGCTTTTCAGTGACACTTGGGGTTGTCTTGAACATGGGCAAAGGAAGGAAAACAGATTTTTATTATAGTGCAAACTGTTCCTCAAAACATTGGTGTTAAAATCTCAATCCCTACTCCTCAAAGTACATAATTATTTGCAAATAGGTTATTTAAGAATTACATTTTATTTCTTTATTTGGTATGTGCCTGTACTATAGCGCACACTTGGAAGCCAGAAGAGAGCTTATGGGGTCATCTGTCTTCTACCGTGTGGGTCATGGGGTGAGGCTCAGGTCACCAGGCTTGGCAGCAAGCACCCTTACCCACTGAGCTGGCACAGAAACAGTTTTTTTCCCCCAGAAGTAATTGAGTTAAACTGAAGGCATTAGTGTGCCCCCTAATCTCCTATGACTAGAGTTCTTATAGAAGGAAGAGATTAGGAAAGAGAGGGCTTGAAGTAAAGACAACATGAAGAGACTGACATGGGGAGAGTGCTGTGTGAGGGTGATTCATCTATAAACCACAGACCCCCAGCCAACCCCCAGATACCAGGAGTGACTACAGGATAACACTCTCCCCAACCCCCAGAAGGTTCCACTTTGCTGGCACTGTGCCTTTTGATGCCTAGTTGCTCCAACTGTGAGGCAGTAGTTTATCCAGGCCCATCCATCCCAAGAGTATTTTCCAGGTACCATTTAGACCATCTATCCATCCCTGCACGACGGGCTTTCCTTTGCAACCACATTAAACCCATCGTGTTCTCACACCCAGACTCCATGCTGGATGGTACTATAATATTCAGTCTTGCTAAAACATCCCCATCACCCTGGGCTTGCTCAAGTAATATTAATTTTAATAAACATTATGGAGGTACTGGTGTCATTTGATAGGAATGACATAGGCTATAAAATTCATTTAAACCTTTCCTCAAAATCTCATCTTCTTCTGCTTAGTGGCTCATCTTTTTCTAGAAGGAAGAAACTGATACATCAGTTGCAGACCCAACTGAAGGTCCATAAACTGAGAGCGGCAAGTTACACAGTGTGAAGTTAGAGCTGTCCCATGGCAAGAGGGAAATCTTGACAGGATTTCCTGCTCTGGTCATAGAACTTTTGAGTTTGTCCTTCTGTAGCTGACATAAAGGTCTTTGTTTTCTTTTTGCATTATCTCTCTTTAAAGCAGGCTGAATTGGGAGCCCAGACAGTTCAGTTGATAAAGGTCTTGAATTGCAAGTACAAGGGCCTGAGTTCCATTCCTAGAATCTGCAACAAACAAACAAACAAACAAACACACAAAAAACCCCCAGTGTGGTGGCTGGTACTTGTAATCCCATCAACAGGGAAATAGGGACAAGGGGATCCCTGAGGTTTGCTGATTGATTAGGTTAGTCTACTTGATGAGTTTTGTGTCACCGAGACCTTGTCTTAAAAAAGAAATGATGGACAGTGTTGGTGCACACCTTTAATCCCATCACTTGGAAGGCAGAGGCAGTTGGATCTCTGAGTTTGAGGCCAGCCTGTTCTACAGAGCGAGTTCCAGAATAGGCTCCAAAGCAAAACAGAGAAACCCTGTCTCAAAAAAACAAAAAACAAAAAACAAAAAAGAAAGAAAATGATGGATAGTAACCTGGAAGACAACACCTGAGATGTTCCTTTGACCTCTGTGAACATGCAGACACATGCACATGCATATGCATCCTTATATACATGAACCCTCATCTCCCCCAACCGAGATGAACATATAATTCTTGGGTAAACTGTGGTGTTTAGCATTTACAGCAGAGTGACTATGAGCTCATGCTGATATGGGAAAAAGCAATAGTGGACAATTTATTATTCTAAATGGTGACATTTTGGGCTGCCTGAGAACTCTGGGTATGGTTGACAAAGGGATAGTATCAATCCACAGGGGCCAAGTGAGATGTCAACCTATCTGACTTTGCAGATGTGTGTGTGTGTGTGTGTGTGTGTGTGTGTGTGTGTGTGTTTCAGAGGCTTCTTCTGCCTGAAGGACACAGTGGGCTTCACACTGACACTATCCTGTGAGTGTCTGCTTCCTGCATGGTTTCTGTAGCTTTCAATTTCACCCACAAACATTAGTTCTGAAAGGGGAAGGCAAGACATTGGGTTAATAACCTGGGGGCATCTGTAATGTGTGCCAAGCCCAGGGACTTTGTACATAGAGCCTCACTTAATGAGAGTAAGACTTTCTGAAGAAAGTTGTGGTGGTGCACGCCTTTGATCTGAGCAGTTGGGAGGTAGAGGCAGGTGGATCTCTGTGAGTTTGAATCCAGCATTTTATAAGTATATAATGAATTCCAGAATAGCCAGTGCTAAATTCCAGAATAACCAACCAACCAACCAACCAACCAACCAACCAACCAACCAACCAAAAACCAAAAATGAATAAATAAATAAATAAATAAAATCTATATGATGCAAGTATAATGACTATGACTTTCACAGTACAGCAACATATAAGATTCAGATGACAAGAAATGAAACAAAATGTGATGTATTTATATATTAATTAGCTCAATGTAATCACTCCACAATGTGTCTGTATTTCAAAACTTTATGTTGTATATTACAAATATGTCTATGGTGTGTACAGTGAACTAAAAAATAAAGAGGCAAAAAGAAAAAGGATCAAGGCTATGCAAATCAGGATTGGTTAGTCATATGGAATTAAAAAAATAAACAATACCTGTTTTTCAAAGTAGGAAAAGGGAAACAAAGCCAGTTGGAGCACATTGGTCCAGTGCAGCAGATGGGCACCTCTGCCACACCAACTCCGCCTTTCTGCTCTGGATGTCAGTTGTTTCCCCACCATAGCCCTGTGTAACTTCTTCAGTGTCTCAGTTTCTGTCGTGCACCCTGGGGGCTCACTGGCCATCTCTCTGAGCCTAGTTGCTGAGTCCAGGTGAAAGACTTTGAGAAACAAGGTGGGTGGTCTCCGGGGGAATGAACTTTGGCTTCCACACACATGTGCACACACACAC